CTATGTCAGAGAAGGGAATGGGCACAGGAGTGACTTTGAAGATTGTACAATGTCTGTGGACAGTGTCCAAAGTATTATATAAATGCCTGGTGAAGAGTGAGGTCAGTGTTGCTGAGAAGCCAGAGTGTCAGCCAGTGGTTCATCCCTGCAGAATCCCCTGAGAGTAGTGACAGGTACTGGAGTAGAGAGGATGTGAGCCAGGTGATCTGGTCTTCAGGGGAGAGTGTGAAATGAAGAGGGCTGTGGATGATCCTAAAAGAAGTTTAATAGGTTATGGTGTGGAAGGTACATTACAAAACAAGGACGTTTGCCCAACTCTGTAATGCTTGACATATGAGAGGAAAAAGCTGTTCATCTTCTTGAGGAAGACACAAAAGTCTTCCTCTTAGGGGACAGCAGAAGTACATCTAGCCAAGAATATGGAAGGAATGTTGGATAGAGAGGGAAACGATATAGGGACATTACCTGATCTGAATGTTCATTCTAAATTGTCAGGAGGAGGCTGGGAAAATCCCATATACCCAGATCTTTGCACATTTACACAAATATTTATTTTTCTCAACCTGAAAAATATGTAATTACTGAAACATTTACATTAATTACAAGCAATTTACCTATAATTGTCTTACGTTTAAACTTATCTTTTGATTTATCTGTTTTGTGTTTAATCCTTAATTTAAAGAAAAATAGCTCTCACAACAGTGTTAAGCAAATTAAAACCTGAAGAATGCTTTACAAATTTAAGGAGCAAATCTTTGTGGTTACCCAACAAGCTATCTTAGAAACCCAAAATACAGGTATAATGGAAGAAAAGACTCTTCTGTTTTAGGTATAAAATATATCCTAACAGTTTCATTATTCTATATTTGAGACCTGGATTTAGGAAAGGCAATATGAGAATCCTCAGAACAATCTAGTTACAAGAAAAGCATAGAGTTGTCTTGGCTACTTCATTGATCAGAATACTAATACAGTTATACAATACAGTAAATAAACATAACAAACATAAATAAACATAACAGGATTGTTTGCAATAAACAATATTTATCCATATAAATCTGGAGGATTATTTCACATTAAGTGAAATAAGTCACAGCTAAACAAATAGTGCTCAGTCTCACTTATATGTGGAATCTAAAAAAGTCAAACTCGTAGAAACAGAGTAGAATGGTGGTTACCAATTGAGGGCTGGGGTGGTTAGGGAGATGTTGATCAAATAATATGAAATTTCAAATAGAAGGAATATGTTCAAGAGATCTGTTGTACAACATGGTGACTATAGTTAATAACAATGTAGCGTATTCTTTAAAATTGCCAAGACAGTAGATTTTAGGTGTTCTCATCACAAAAAATGATAGATATATGAGGTATTACCCATGTTAATTATCTTGACTTAGCGATTTCACAATGCGTACATATTTCAAAACGTACGTGATAAATGTACACAATTTTTATTTGTCAATTAAAAATTAATTAGTTTTTTAAAGAGTAACAGGAGTTACC